TAGGGTTTAGGGTTCAGGGCTTACTATGTTTATATTATATGTAGAGCCTAGAGCTTAGGGGGGACATGGGATTTCGTTTTACGGTTTAGTTGAAGGGTTTTCAAGGAAGCTCTTGAAGGATGAGCTGCCTGGGGTTTTGATTTAGGGCCTGCCACATTCCCCGAAAGGCCCCTCCCCGAACAGAGATTCCCCCAACAAATGTTGAACAATAGGCTGCACGAGGCTCCAGGCTACTGCTGTTCTGATGGCAGTCGAGCTTGCGAGTAACTGCTAGTATTCCAGCGATAGGCGTGAGGGGCAAAGGGCTCCTTTTTGTGCGCTGGGATTCTGATCCTTCATCTGCGACGACAATTCCTGCGGAGCTAATACACCGGAGCTGAAAGAGGAGCTCGGAACTGCAGCTTGTGGGCTTGAATTCTCGAAACTCGAACACCCTAAACTCTAAATCCTCGAACACCCTAAACCCTTTCTTAGCACGGACTTGCAGTGTATCCCTAAACCCTGAACCCTAAAATCAAGGGAGGCAGAGCCTTCATTGACACCGCCTGTGTCTTGATGTCGAAATCTTCGGCCTGAAGCATCGGATCAATAGTTATTCTTCCTCTGAACGCTATTATTACGATTATCAGGTTGATTATTATGTTTGTTCTGGTTGTTGTTTCAGTTACTGTCACTATCACAACAATTATGCCTCAGTCTCACAATGCATATCAGCTTCTGAACTGTCTTGCTAGACGCTGGTGGGGACCTGGAATAGCCTTGCACCATGCGGGTTAGTGTAAGCACTCCAATAAGGGTGTACTATACAGGTTACAAGTACTACAAGTAAAACCCAGGTAACAACCGAGACTTAAAACCGAACATTTGACTCTTAGACCAGGCATCAAATCTGAGACCAAGGCCGATCGAGTACCAACCCCACAACGGTCCGGACACTAAGTCTTTAAGTCAACTCAAGTGGAGGCAAAGACTGAACTTGAAATGATGTTGATATGTGCACACATGCGCCACCAGGATTCGCATCATGGCTTCGACATATGTCCTGCTATACAAATGCCCTCAATTTTCAGGCTTCATGGGAAGAGAAATAGGAACCAAACGGGTCAACGGAGTGAACCCAAACTGTTTGGTCCCTCCTCTGCAATCCTCGGTTCGGGAGAGTGTCCAACCCTGCTAGGTGACCTAATGTAGGAGGCAGGATCATTAGAACAGGGTCTTGGGTAGCTTGTGCTGTTACTACCTTTATAGAGTAGAGTATATGACTCATCCGATTTGCTGGTTTGGGGTTGGAGATCGTGATGCTGTGTTCTGACGATGTGCAAGATTAGCAGCTCGAAATCTGACACCTTGTTTTCCCATGCTCGGATCCTAACCATGGAACAGGTTCTCCAACAAATGTACACAGTTACGGGGTTCAGGTACATCCGGACTCGCAGCTTCATCTCGCATAGGAAAACACCAACGTGCACCTCAACACCCATACCACATTAATCAACTTGAGCCAACGGTATCTTACCCGCTCGCATCCCCACGAAAAACCCACACCCCAAACCCGCAAATCTGCAAGCCGACACCCTAATAACGTCGAAACCTAAGACCGCTAATCCTCCACCCAAAGCCCCTAAACCCTAAACCCTAAACTCTAAGCCCCCCAAAAATGGAGTGTCAGCAAGCAAGGCCACCCGGCGATCCGAATTCCCCTAACTAGAAGGATCCCTAATTTCAAGAAGCTGCCAAGCCCTTAGCCGAGAATCCTATTATACCCCAAACCCTAAACCCTAAATCCCTAACCCCTAAACCCCTAAACCCCTGGAAACCCTCAAATTTCAACTCTGAGCCCGAGCCCTAACTTCTTCTCCGGAGAGAGGCCCTGTCGGCAGGGTCCAAAGCTTCGAACGCCGCTCTGATCTCTTCGCGCCTGTCGGTTCTGCGGAAGAGGGTTTCTCAAGTTGAGGGGGTTAGCATCCAGGCCTCAATACTTAGAATAGGCTTTGGGGCTTTTTCCTGAGCTCTAGATTTCGGGGATTGAAGGTAAATGTGATTTTAGGGTGTTTGAAGCCTGGGGATATCCACTTATCGTTGCAGCATTTCGGCTTCCGGCTTTGGAGGCTTTAGGGTTCGAGGGATGGTGGCTTGTAGGGTGGGAGTTCTGACTGGACCCTCAACCTTGCTTGTCTGGGGCCTTCAGAAGTAGAACATAGGTACAATTCTCGCCTTTTAAACCTCTAACGAGGAGCACGCTTGCCATTCAAGCCCCCCTCATTTAAGCTTGATTTGGGCCACCGATTTTATGGGCCGACGAATCACGAGGGGCGGCTCTGTCTCGTCTCAGCATCAAGACAACCCATGACAACCCTGCTTACGCTGTGAAAGCAACCCTAGAAGCCCAGTAGTAGCAACCCATTGCCTCGTTAACTCCATTTGGCATGGGGGTTAACGAACTCAGATCTTGTTGTGTCGGCGGCTCCCGTGGTATGCTGGAAGCCTTCAACCTCCTTCAAACCTCTTCCTGACTGTGAGCCTTATGCATATTGGGTAGTTCTCTAAATTAGGGTCCCTTCTGAGGTCCTTTTTAGAAGTGTGCCGTACTATATTGGGGACCTAAACAGGGACCCTAATTTAGAGAACTACCCATATGGTTTCGGGGCATGGTGTACTGCCACGCGCTCTGAGGCTCCTGGACTAGCTTCCCTCAGCATTAACCCGTACACCGTACCGATACCTCCGTGCATAGCCGAGGTAGTTCTCAGCGTTCGCAACATGGAGGACCTCTTCAACCTGCCAGGCTCTATTGGTGTCTGAGAAGTATGGGGGGGGTTTCCAGGGTCTAAGCTCTCCGTCTGGATGGTAAAGGTCCGACTATTTCGGATCTATATCCGGGTCTCTTCCTATATGATCTTCGCCAACATTGGCCTTCAGGGTCTTTTCAGGATCCGGCCCTCACCCCTGCAGTCAGAGGCTGCTTGAGTTGGGGCTGGGAGGATGTGGGACCTCTTCGAGGCCTTCGGTACAGAGTTCACCCTAACCCTCTAGTACCTACTATATAGGGCCCTAGGGGCTCTAGTACCCTGCTGCCGGCGTTTCAAGCCCTTTGCTTCCGGATTCAGTGTTCACGGCCACAAGAGTTTTGGACACTTATTGGATAACTTATTGGCTGGTAAGCTCTCACGTCGCAGTTGATCTTCCTGGCGAGTATAAAGTACAACAAGCCTCATAGCGAAAATGATGCGATGGCAGCCGTAGTAGTGGTAGTCGTAGTCGTAGTCGTAGTCGTTGTCGTTGTAGTAGTGGTAGTAGTAGTAGTAGTAGTAGTAGTAGTAGTAGTACTAGTAGTAATGGTAGTAGTGGTAGTAGTGGTAGTAGTGGTAGTAGTCGTAGTCGTAGTCGTAGTCGTAGTCGTAGTCGTAGTAGTAGTAGTAGTAGTAGTAGTCGTAGTAGTAATAGTAGTAGTAGTCGTAGTAGTAGTAGTAGTAGTAGTAGTAGTCGT